AGTTTTAATCTTTGGCAGGTTGAAATCCAGTTTTTCCAACACCATTTATTAAATAGGCTATCTTTCCTCCAATGAGGTTGTTTGGCTCCTTTGTCAAAGATGAGGTGGCTGAGCATATCTGTAATTGTTTCTGCATCTTCTAATCTATTCCACTGATCCTCAGGTCTGTTTCTTTTCCAATACCATGCTGTTTTTATCACAGGAACTTTGTAGTATAGTTTCAAGTTGGGGATTGTAATACCCCCAGCAGTATCTCTGTTGCCTAAAATTTCTTTTGCTGTTCTGGGTCTCTTCTGGTACCAAATGAATTTTTGGATTGTTTTCTCTAGTTCGGTGAAATATATTGTTGGAAGACATGGTTTTTTTAATAAAATGGAGTACTACTCAAACATAAAGAACAAGAAACTGGAGACATTTATAGCTAAATGGATGCATATTGAGGCCATCCTCTTAAGTGAAATAAATAGGACACACATGTGTAAATACTGAATAGTTTCTCTAGTGTGAGAAAGTGAAAGTGTAATTAAGTATACATACGGATGAAAGGGCCTAATAACATATTTCTTGGATTGTGTTTCCATCGTGTGTCATATGACTGTATCGAAATTTAAATTAGGGAGAAGCTTGGCTTATGTGGAGTCTGCTAACTAACTGGAGTTTTGTTCCAGACCACTATTTGTTCAATGTTGGTTTTGGGGATCTTTCTGAAACAAATCACATCCTCTGGTGTCTTGCTGGTGCTTGAAATGCTTTTTTAAGTTATACAGAAAAATGTTTAAGTGCTTTTCAGTTTTGTTTTAGTTGAGTTCTACTGTATTTGAATATTATTGTAGGTTTTTTCCCCTTGCATTGTTCTTCTTTGAATGGTTTTAATTTTTTGTATGTGTATCTGTTTGATAATAAAGTCATTTTTACAAAAATAATAAAATTTTTAAAAATGCCAGGAGGATCACAATTTCAAACCCAGACTTGGCAGCCTGGCAACTTAGTGAGACTGTCTCAAAATTTTTTAAATTTTTTAAAGGGCTGAGAATGTAGCTCAGTGCAAAGCCCTGGTTTCATCCCCAGTACTACAGAAAAGAAAAAGAAAAAAACGAATTTAAATACAGGGGAAGAAAGCAAATGGAAAAAATAACATGGTTGACTTTAAAAATATAAAATACAGAAAATCTGTAACACCAAAAGGAAAAGTTAAGAAAAGTAAGCTTTGGGGCCTCTGGTAATGCTGGTTTCTGTTATTACTCTGTTTCTTGGTTCTGTTTCTGATCCTGGTCACATGCGTGTGCTAGACTGCGGCTGTCACACTCCACACTGCAGACTGTGCATCTTGCTTTACCTGTGCAGGTTTCCTTAGGGAAGCCCCATGCCTTTGGTGCAGCTGGACCCTGGCTGGTTGTCGCACCTTTCCATTGTCTCCCAGGGCACACAACGGGTAGGCAAGAGCCAGCTTTGCGCACCTCTCATCCACCCCATCTCCTGACCTGCCTCCTGGGGACCTGGTATCACGTGCCTACACCCGCAGGGGCTCCCAGGTGGCTCCATGGACTGTGGTCACCTTGTCACATTTGGACAGTACTGCCAGGGAAAAATAAATTCTGTGATCAGAGAAGTTGGAGGAACACGGAATAGTTTTCTCCCCACCCTGAGATTCATGATCCACATTGTTCATTAGAATACCGGACAAGTCCTCCAGGCCATGAACCTGCTCACTTCTGCTTAATCCAGCATTTTCAACTCAACTTGGTCCACAGAAGTCTTTTTCCATCACCACACCCCATCATTCATTCCTGCAAATACTCACAGAGACCCTGGGAGATGCCGAACTGTGCTTCCCTGTGTCATAGTACAGCCGTGAGCCCCAGGAGTTTACACTCAGAATGACGGGGGAGAGAGTACAGACTGCAATTATGTTTGACTTCGATGCCCTGGAGGAAGAGTGAGGGCCGGATCTGGAACCTAAAATAGTCACATGAAAGGAGAAGAGAAACAATGATTAGTCAAGAGGAAGGGCATAAGCGAGAGAGAGTAAAGGAGGTTGGAAGGAGTTAATTATGACACTAAGATCACCAGGCTGGGTACCGTGGTGCACACCTGTGATCTCAGCACGCTAGGCTGAGGCAGGTGGATGGCAATGAGTTCAAGGCCCAGCTGGGCTATATGGTCAGTTCAAGACCGGGCTCAACTACATAGCAAGACACTGTCTCAAAGTACCAAGAGAGAAGAGAGCAAGAGAGAGAAAGATAGAGACAGATGGAGACAGAGACAGAGAGAGGGGACATCAAGTTGACGTGAGGTACGGAGGTGAAAAGAGCCGCACTCCACTCCACTGAATAAAATGGCAGGTTACAAACCAGTATTATGACTTTGCCAAGTTCCTGCTTTCAAACAGCATTCATATGCAGTATGCTGATACCAAGAAATGGTCTAGATTATTCTGAACTTTTAATCTGTCTCCGGGAATGAGATGCTGAGAACATTTTTGTTTATGAGTATTTTTTACTTGTGCTATTAGAAAATGTTTCTAAGTGAAGGAAATTAAGAATTACTGAGTGTGTGTTAGATGATGGATGTGCAAATTAGCTTGGTTGTAGAATCATTTCACAATGTGTATGTGTCTCAAAATGCGATCTTGTGTGTATGATTTTATTTGCCATTTATACCCAATAAAAGTGAAGAATAAAAGCAAACTAAAGGCATAGAGATAAAGTTGTCTGATACTGGAGCACAGTCATTTAAGGATCCACAAATTATGACAGGAAGTTCTGCCCTAGCTGTGTGCCCATGTCTTAGGGGTGGGGTCCAACAGGTCTACCAAAAAGACTCATTGTGTTGAGGCTCAGTTGCTGATAGACCTTGGGAAGTGACTAGGACTCGAGGGCTCTAACTACCTTGATAGATGAACCTACCTATGGGGCTTCTAGAACATGGGACCCACTGGATGAAGTGGGTGTGGCTCTGAAGGCTGTTCCTGGTCCCTGCCCTTCCTCTCCGGCTCTCTCCCTCTCACCATGCCTCCTGGCTGCCACAGGTTGAGCAGCACTGCCCCACCACATCCCTCCGCCATGATGTTCCTGCCATGGAGCCACCCGACCATGAGCTGAACCCCTGAAACCCAGAGCCAAAGTAAATCTCTCTTCCTTTAAGTTATAGTTGTCAGATACTACGTCCCAGCCACAGAAGAGTGACCAGTACACCACGTGTTACTCAAAGTGCAACAAAAGAAGGAGGCTTGAGGAAATCCTCAGCACTCTCCATCCCACTGAACATGTGAGAAAAAGCACAAAGATCCATTGCTTGGCTTGGAGAACCAGCTGAGTTGTGAATTTGCTGCCAGGTAAGAGTGAGGACAGTGTCAGGGGTGCACTAGAAGAGCCCCCAAGTTCAACTTTGGAGGTGGTTCTTAATGGACTCCTGAGATGAGTTTTCCTTCTTATAAAATCAGATGGGCATAATATTTATACTCTCTTGAGCTTAAGGATCTCAACTGCTTAACTGACCCTACATGTTCCTCATTACTCGACAATTTACAGGCATAACTTTCCCTTCCTAGACAGAAACTGAACTTCCAGATTCTGGGTAGCTGCTCCTACCATGAAATAAGTCATTCTGTGCTTTTTTTTAATGCTCTAATTCACAGCACATGCCAGAGACCAGCTGCATCTAGGGATGCAGAAATGCCCTGTTACACAGAAATGAATGTGACCCAGAGGATCAGAAGGCTAGGTGTTTCCCCTTTGTGTTTTCCAGTCTCTGTCTTAGGAAATCAGTAACGGCTTTACAAAGAGATGCAACTCATTTGTTTCTGACTTTCTCAGCCACAGAGAACATAATAAATAGGGTGGATGCCTGAGATATACTTAAAGTCTGCCCCCTTGAAGCCTGGGGGGGATTTTAAATATCTAGGGTAGCGATGGGTACAGTGATCTCTTGCCAATCAGTAGACACAATGTCTTAGAACAGAATGCCCCCCTTCTTCCCACTTGAAAGGGTGACTCGGGCTAGGGATCATCAGGCCTTCGAGGACACTTGGAACCAGGAGGACAGAGAGCCGTGCTCCTAATCCATTCCCTGGAGACATGTGACTCATTGGAAGCTGAAGTAGTAAGAAACATCTGGGCCAGGAATCTGAATCATCACAGGCAGAGAAGAAAGTCATAAAGATTTTACCGATGAGTCATCTGCTGACTGCTTCTCATCCCAAGAAGAAAACTCAACGTACAGGTAACCAGGACTAAAGCAATACCGAAAAAATACAGAACAGACAGTTCTCAAATGGGCGGAGGGAGGATGAGAAGCTCTCATAAGGAAACTGGATTGGCTGAGCACCTCCCAGGCCAGGCTGGCAGATCCGGTTGCCACAAAACCTCAGACCCTTGGTACGGAGCTGGGAGATGGGAGGGGGCCTGCCTTGGCCAAGCAGAGAACTGTGAACCAGAGACTCAAGAGAGTGACTTTTGGCTTAGCGATGTGCACTTCCCACACCTTTTGCTGGCTGCACGGGAATAGCACAAGGCAAGGAAAGTCTAAGGGGAAAATGTATCCTTCCAGAAGGAGAAGAGCAGCTGAGAGTACATTTGGGGGTCTTCTTAGTCCCCTCCATAACCTTCATTGTTCTCCTAGGATCACTTTGGCCATCTTCCCAAGACAGGGAATTGCTCCGAGTTCACTAGACTTCTCACGCTGCTGCTGGTGCTTTATGTTGCAAGTTTAGCATCTGTCACCCTGTTGTGGGGCACTTTTTACACATTTGTCATTCTGGGTGATGGTAAACTCCTTGAAAACAGTGATAGTTTTTCCACCCCTCTCTTGCCAGCACCCAGTGTAGTTCCTGGGCCAGAAGAACATTTTTAAAATCTTGATGAATTTAGCCAGGCATTGTGGCACCTGTCTGTAATCCCAGTTCTCACAGCCTGAGGCAGGAGGCTCACAATTTCAAGGCCAACCTGGACTACATAGTGAGACCTTATCTCAAAGTGATAAAAAAATAAAGTCTTGATGAATTGAACCTAATTGAACTGGCTCCTGATGTCTTACTTGTCCTGAGTGAGCATAAAATAGTACTTAGGTTACAGTTCTCCTACAAAACTCTCTGAAATTCCATTTAGATTCTACTTGCTGCACTAAACCTTAGCTAAGGGCTGGGTGATGGGTGGACATTTTTTAATTTATCCTACAAATCTATACTGAGCGTCTACTCAGTGTCAGAAAGTGTTCTCGGGACTTGGGATATGTTGGTAAACTATCTGTCTTGGAGGTTTGCATTCCAGGGGGAAGCAGGGACAGAAAACAAAGCCAGGGATAAGCGCCCATGTTAGGAGGTAAGTGGCGCAGAACAGGGGAAACAGCAGGAATTCCAGAAGTGCCAGGATGTAGGGCTTGGGAGGAGGATTCTCAGTGCCTCAGTGAGTACCTAAGGCCGGGCCTTGCTGAGCACTGAGATCTGACCAGACGGAAGGTGGCTGTGGGCTCGGCCGTGGGTTTCTGAGAAGGAACTGACCTCTTCCCCAGCTCCACGGAGGACTTTGAGCCACTGCCGCCTGAGGACGCAGCAGACCTGGCAGATTCCCCGGCTGTGAACGAACTTGGTTTTGCCCATACCAGCGAGTGCAGTGAGGAAGGTGCTAGTCATTTTGTTACTGCTGTGTGATGTGGAGAGCAAGAACAGGAACAGAGAAAGGGGAAGCAGTGGTGCACATGAATGGAGCAGGGCGCCGAGCAGGGCCTCCCCACTAACGAGACCAGAAAAGGTTCTGGAAATCTTGTGGGGAGAATGAGCTCAGAACCCACCCTACTTCCCAAATGCTTGCCTCTGGACTGAGCTTCAGTTGTGGAGACCTGACATAAACTCTGAGGCCTCTCAGCAGCCTCTAGAGACTTCTAGCTGGTTCTTTTCTTTCTAGCTGGTTCTTGTATTTCTGTGGTGACCAAAGGAGGAAAATTCATCTATACTTTCTGCTCCAGGAGAGAGGAGACTTCTAGTTTTAGTGTTTTAGTCCTAACTCTGATTACATTACGGATCTCTCTTCCTTGGGGCTCTTTGAAGGAAGATGTAACTAATGAAAACACAGTTGAAATGGTATCTATTCCATTAAAGATGTTTATTAAGTGATTGGTAGATTGCAGGCACTGTGTACCCAGGGTCGGAGGAGTGGAAGACAGGACTGCACAGCAATGAGAAGGGACCCCAGTGCTCTTACCAGGGTGTTGCCACAGCACAGCCCAGGACAGGACAACCACAAGTTACAAGAAAACAGCAAAATAAGTTTGACGTAATTCAGTCAAAAGTGCATGTTCTCGGTGGAGTCTGAACAGTGGAGGGGATGGAACTGTTCTTATGGTGATCACTTCACGATTGTCATTGTCTTTACCAGAAAACTCTGAAACCCCAGCAGTGTTTCGCCATTCCCCATTCCTGTCAATAAGTCTGTCTCACTAAATAGCCTCATCATTCACATTTACCGGATGATCACAGGCCACCAAAGGGGGAGCAGAGCAGGCTTCCCACATGGCGATAAAAGAGAACTGGAACCAGCGAAGTGAATCTGATCCTTGAAGCAGCAACTGAGAACAACTTCTGAGCAGATGCTGGTGTCAGGTCACCAGAGAGCCCGCGACCCGAGGCGTGATACATCTGGAGTCTGCTGTCTGCTGCTGCTGTCCACCCGGGTCTGCCCATTTGGTGGTGGCGGTGGCGATTTATGTAAGATGGAACTAACTTCCCAAAGAAATACACATTTGCTTTGGCCCTTTAGCTGCTTTAAGTACAACTTCCCCCAAAACTCGAACACATAGCATGTAAACCGCATGTAGGTAGCATGTAGTGTCAGACCCCAGCATGTTTTTGAATCAGCAAGCAGGTTATTGCTGCCTCTTCTGCAGTGGGAATTGCAGAAATGCAAATACAGGTGAAAAAATAAGCAGATATCTTACAGGCTACTTATTTTATTTGCCCACTAGGCTCCTCATTCTAAGGAGGATTTTATATTGCTTTTCTTTTGCTGGGCCTATCCTGTTTCCCAAATGCAGTATTCCTAGGACTTAAGGCATCGTTTTCCAGTCTGACCCCAATTTTTCTCTTGTGTCCTTTGTTCTGCTCCCACCCCTAGCAGAATGCCCCTCCTGAGACACTAAATACACTGCCCCTGCACAGCACCCAGGGAAGAAGCGAGTCCTCATCCCCTACATATCTTCAAAGAAGCAAAGACAGACCCATGAGGCCACAGGATGACAGGCCCATTGTTTGAGCCCAATGCGGGGACTTCCCCTTTTGTTTGAGCTGAGTCACATTTTTCCTGTTGTCAACTTGAAGGCTGTCCGTTGATGGACAACAAGGCTATCTTGCTGATGTAGAAGGCCAGGCAGATAGGTTTCCCTGCATTTGTTTGCCTTACCTTGGACCCTTACCAATTAGAAGCTGACAACTGGCCAGAGCAGATAAGAAATGGTTTATTAAAGCTCGGAGACTACACTGAATACACTAATTCCTGACAATTTTCTTCTGTTAAAGTGCTCTTCGAGGTTCCTGCCTTGTGCAATCTTACTAATTTTCACTGAGCTCTTAGGGGGATGTATATGTGCATTTTATTCTTGCTATCTTTTCAGTTGACACACGCGTGCAAACCACAGATCTATTTGATCGACTGGCAAATTGTGAAAACAGGAAGTGGAAGGATGGAGTCAACTGAAACAACCTTAAGAAATGATGCTGTCTGCCTTTGTACCAAGATGGGAATGTTGTTTGTTATAAGAAACAAATAAACAAAATGAGTGGACGGTATCAATAGAGCCCCAATTGGAAGAGTGCACATCCGGATCCCACTAATTATCACATTTTCAGTGTCTTGTAACCAAGGAAATGGTCTTCAGATCTGAATCCACAGTATTGTTTTAGCCATGATAAAATCTTCAAAATGAAGAGAGGGATGTGATAACACTTGCTAGCTAAGAAATATTTGAGATAATATTTTTCTGTCTGACAATCATCATCTGAATTGGCTTAAAAAAAAACCCACTTCCTGTTCTAATTTCATCCCTTCATTTACGCAGCAGATATTCCTGCTCTGGGACAGGCACTATTTTACGCATGAAGTTAATGAAAGTCAAAGCAAAATCTCTTCTTACAAGTCTTCACACTGCACCTACACCATCTGTCCTCGCCACTCGGGCTTCCAAGCCTCAGTCCTCCTTATCCCTCTCATGGTGTATTTCAAAGAGGGTTACCTGTGGGGGAAAGAACCTGAAAGCCCTCTTCCCAGTGGCTATGCAAAACACAGCCGGATGTTAGGATGAAATGAACGAGGCAGGTCGCAGGTTTTAGGCAAATACCAGGAAATTCTACCACATGAGTAGGTGATGAATTTATGGAACTTAGTGCCTCAGATTTTTCAGAAATATAAATGAATTTTTGTTTTTAATTTGGATCAAATTCTGTTGAAAGTTGGCATGGGAAGGGCAGAGAATGTAGTATGCTGTGGATGGGAAATCTAGCTGGTCCATCTTTGGGGAATTTCTATATGAGATCTGCTCACAGGGATGGCATGTATCATCTCAGATAATTGAGTTTTTAAAATAAGATCACTAGCACCCAAACTCTGACTCTGCCAGAAAAATTAAAAAGGTTACAGTGGGGCATTCTAATGTCATCTTGTTGGAAGGAAAATGAGGAAGTAAAGAGGACTTTGCATGACTATTAGTAAACTTGTAACAACCAGTATATTCACCTGTTTAACCTTCAAACACCATTTTAAGAAACTGTTTAGGAGGAAGTACTTTTTTTTTTTGAGTCATGGTCTCCTTCTGTAGTTCAGGCTGGCTTGAACTCACTTTTTAGCCCAGGCTGGCCTTGAACTTGTGGGAATTCTCTTGCCTCAGCCTCCCAAGTCCTGAGATTACAGGCCTGCACCACCATGCTCAGCAAGACAAAGTACTTTTGAGGCAGTTAACACTCATTTCAGTCAGACTTAATTATATTCAAAAATCTGTTTCTAGGCATTTAAAATCAAACCTGGACGAAAAAATTAAGGCAACCTACTCTCATGTAAGAAAAATGAGACACAAACAGATTAAATTTCTTCCAGTGGTGACAGCATTGACACTAGGAAGAGACCACACCAAAGTCACTTAAGAGTCCAGAGCTTGTCTCGCACCTGCTCTTAGACAGGGAGAGGGAATAAAGCCAGGTCGAGGATGGTACATGGCCCTGCACCCCACCTGGGGAGCAAGTCCCTTCCCTTCGGAGCCAGAATCAGGGCCTGACTGGGACGCTCACCTCCACGTCCCAGGCCCTTGTACCAACCCTGTGCCCACACAGCATTCAGTTGTTGAATAGAGGTGAGAAGTGAAAAGAAAACCCCAAGTAAAAAGACTCCGAAAGAGAAATCCAGAGAAAACAGCAGTAATAATGCAAAATAGTCAACTCTATAATTTCCACGACTTTCATTTAACTCTATAGTCAAATTACACTATTATTCATTTCACAGCTACAGATCAATTTGCTCATGTGTGAAACCTATGAAATACAACCATTTGCTCTTCAGATGAGTGATCTTGGTTCGAGTTACCATACAATTTGATAAAAATACATTATTCCAGATGGACTCCAATTGCTGGGCAGATGAAATGTTTAAATAAAAGTTTAAAAACTTGATTATCTTAAACTAGGTGGTCCAGTAGGGAAAGTATGTGAATATAACTCTAACCCAAATAATCTATGTTTCCTGAATTTTCAAAAATTCTATTTTTAGGATAAAACTTCCAAAAAGAAAATGATGACATATTGAAGTGTTAAAAGGTGCCTACTTGAGCAGTCAAATTGTTACCGGTAAGGTGTAACTACTTGATGTACAGTTTCCACACCCTGCCCGGCCCCCCTGTAAACCACCTCAGCTTCTCCTTCTTCAGACAAGTCGGGGCACCGGCAGAGACGGTGCAACCTCTGGGACCATCACTAGCACAACAGAGGTGGGTGTCCTGGGTCTGGGCCACCTACTCCAACAGAAGTGAGCTGATCACGGCAGCTCAGTGGGCACCCCATGGTCAAGGGCTGCATCTCTAGGACTCGGTCCCCTCCCAGGGCTGCTTTTCAGGGAGCGTGGAACTCTCACTGCAGGTGGCATGGTCTTGCTCCAGAGTCCCATACACCTCCCTTAGGTCACCATAAACTGACCTAGTTAACACCTCCAACATCAAAGGGTGCAGTGGATCAGTACCCACAAGCCTTGACCCCACTGTATCCTAGACCTGTCACAGGGTCCTTTCCAACTCTGGTACCCACCCGATGCTGACTGTCTTCTATATAACCGGGAAACGTGGGCTGGAGCAGCATTCCCACCTATAGTGGGTGTCACCTCCAGAGCCCACCTAGACCTACTAGGAATCAGGCCTCCTTCATGGTACAGGAACGCAAGAGGTGACGTTCCACCAAGTTCCTGACCACTGGGCCCTGAGAACTTCACCGAAGTGGCAAATCCCTGAAACCTATCAGCTTCACCTCCCGCACTCGGGGAGTGGTAAGTCTTACTGCAGAAGAACGAATGGCTTCTAAACTCTGAACATTCAGAGATGTTCACAGAGCCAAAGTCCTCTGAGGACAGTCTCTCCCATCTGTCTCCATCTTGTGTTTCAAGATCTCGCGTCTTCCCAACCATCACCCGAGAGAGATTTGCCTTGGCTGGACATCTAAATACCTCGGGAGCTTCTGGAACGCTACTTAACTGAGTTCTGAGTCTGTTTCTCAGCTGTTCACTGTTCCACAGGAGACCAGAGCCTCCTTTTAAACTGCCAGAGAGTTCACCTGTTCCCTCCCTCAGATCCTCGACCCCCTGCAGAGCGTCAACACAGCAGTCCCCTCAGCTGTCCCTCAGCTGTCCTCTGCTGCCCCTGCTCACCACACGCAAGTGAGTTCTGACTGCCACCCTGCCTGGGGGACCATCATTCCTCTCAGGGTGCAGCTCTCTTTGCCTTCCCCAGGCCCCATCTTAGCACCCGATTTGTCAGCTCACATTTGGTGTCCACTGTGGCCACTCAGGCGCACCCAGAAGCAGAAGCTGAGCCAGGATGGCCCGAGGAAGATGGGAGGGGACACTCCAGGGAGAGACACGCAGCGGGGAGCGGGTCGGCGGGGGCTTCTGACCACAGCAAGAGCGGGCACCTGGACGCGAGGAGCAGGAAGTGTGCAATCCCCATTCAGACTGGCACTGCAGTGCTCCCATTTCCATGTCATCTGCTCATGAGTTATTAGAAGAACTGGAAGTTGTATGTAAAAGAGCCTCATTCAGGCTCTGTAAAGAGTGAGTCTTTAGCAATTGTTAGGCGTTCGTGGCAAAGAATAGGGAAATAATAAAGCAGAGGCCCTCAGTGCTGTTCACAGAAATGTGGGGCCCTTGCTTCCTGTGTAGACACTGGGCTACCCCGCTGCATTTACAGCAGCCCCTATTTCTGTAAAGTCAGGGTTAACCAGCCTGTATTTTAAGTAGCATAAGACAGAAAGCAGCATGCACTTATCTCCTGTAGACACAGCCCCAAAATGCGTTCTGTTTTATAACTGTCATTACTAAGGTGCATGTCTCCTACTCTTTCTTCTGAAGGAAGAAAAATAGAGCTTGTAAAAGGAGGTTGGGTGAAGTCAACATGGGCTGCTATGTGCCCAGTACTACTGTAGACATTTTACAAATGCTTTTTCACTTTGTTCTCAAAAGTCTTGGGAGTAGGGATTATCATCCACATTTTACAGTGGGAAATTTGGGGCTTCTAAAGGTTTAACAGCATGTCCGCAGTAACCCGATTCATTATCAGAATTGATCACTCAGTGATTCTGGAATCACATATATTTCATTTTTTAAGAACCTCATCTGTAGACTAGTTTGTGAATTAAAGAATTCTTGAGTTGAAATTTTATTTACAACATAAAAATAATTCTTTTTTCCTATTATAAACTTAAAGTCATAGTTTTGTTCTGACCTTGTTAATACCACATTGCTCTAAATAGTTGTTAAGAGATCTATTTCTCCCATTGTTGATGGCTTGAGGGTCGCTATCAGGTCTAATTCATCTCATCCCTCATTAACGAGAGTAAGGCTGAATGTTGTGTGTACTTACAGACGTTGAACCAAATAAGAAAATAAAAACAGCTCAGTTAATTTTTCTGCTAATTCTCCAGTTACTCTAATAGACAAATCAGAATCCTAGACAGGAAAACAATCATTTTCTTGGTTTTATGAGACTCACATCAGAGTGGAAAGGTCTCTTAAAAGCCTTAAAAACTCTGTTGAGAACCCAATCTTTTAAGTTTTTTTTCTTAGCAAAAACTATGTGTAGTTTAAAGGAACTAACAAGGAATCCTCACGTTAGGATTTTCCCACTATTCAGAGAAATGACCAATAAGAAGCATCAGTGTAGAGCGCAGGTAATTTGGAAAACATCATGGTGGGTGAGTTGGGAAAAATGACCTTGACCATGACCTTCAAATTACAAGGAGGTGAGAGGACAGGCTTCAGAGCGGGATCAGCCTCCTTAGTCGGAATCCTGTTGGTGACACTGAGATGTACGACCTTGGACACATTACCTAAACTCTCTAACTATGACTTCCTTGTGTGTGAAACAGAGATAGTAATAGTGTTGTTGTGAGAATTCAAAGCAAGAGTGAATGCAAAGCAGTTAGCCCATGGGCCGCACATGATAAGTACTCATTAAGTAAGAATTCCTCCTTATCATCATTTTTAGTGTGCATCACACTCACCACTCCGTGTATCTGAGCTGAATGATAACATTTAGAAACTACAGCTTTACTGGGTCTCTGCATTCACACAGCACCTTTCATCTCAGAAGACCAAAGCCTGGGAAATACTGGTCCTTCTCTCTCTTACTGATGCGAGTGCAGGCAGGCGCACTCCAAATGGCCTAGTTACTTCAGGGCACCCAGCTCAGAGCCTGCTCCGTGCACACAGTCATAGATAACATCCGCACAGCCCAGGCCTCGTTTTCTAGGAACCCTAAAATTAAATGGTTCATATTGTTTGTTTGCAGTCACTAAATATTATTTATTGGCAGCAGAAATCAGTGCGGCTGATATATTACTCTTGCGGGGAGTGTTTGTGTTTTGAAAACTGCTCTCAAATTTTCTAAATGTGAATTTAAAAGTCTGTCAGTCTCTGCGCCGATAACACAAAACAGATTGTAAATGTAACGCGATGCAATCAAGTCAAACCCGAAGAGAGCGCCAGAAGGCTGGATATTAGGGCCGCTCCTGGACGCGGGCTCTGCTAATGATGGGACAATTGCCAGCGCTGATTTGTGGCTGGCATTGATATGCAGGCAGCAACGCTTTCATCTCAAATCCAGCTCCACATTTTTTAATCCTGTCAATGAATTCGCTGTATCTGCAAAGAGCAACTCCAGAGAATCTAAATAATAAGGAATGGGAATATTCAAGCACAGTCTCTAATTCCACATCCAGTCCGTCAGTTGAGATACCCCCCAATTTTTCCCCTTGTCGCTGTTTTGTATCTCCTGGGATGCCTGCCTCTCCACAACTTGTACAAATTAATAACTAAACAGGGCTTTCAATATTTGAATTGGTCATTGTGGGAGGGGGGTGGGCGCTGAGCCTCAGGAGGATATTCCAAGATTGCAAACTTACCTAACATTTCCTTCACAGAATCAAAGCATGCAAATGGGCTCTGGGTGCTGTTGCCATTTACTGTGGGGACCAATTTTTTTTTCTATTTTTTTTTTTCTATCAGGCAGCACCTGCCTCTCTATTCAGAGATGCCTGCGTGCAAGGCTGAATGCAAACAACAAAGGCTTCGACTGTGGCAGAGGCTGCGTGATTTTCTTGGACCTTGCCATTATGTTTCAGGTCAGAGATTGAGGTCCACAGCACAGGGACCTTTTAATATCAGGTGAATGGATTTTTATAAGAGGCTGGGAAGCTCTGGGTCTTAGAGAGAAAAATGGTGCTTTAAAAATAGACACATTTCTTTTGGGCTGTAATTATCAGTGCGTGACGAATCACTTTTTATTCTGTTCTCGTGGGCAAAAGGAAATATCCTCTACCCATCGCTGTGGGCTGGCCATTTTCAGAAGTCAAAATGTTCCCATATCTAATCAGTTGCTTGAGAATGTATGATTTACCTGGAAAATGGGTCTTGAGACATCACATATGATTTTTTTTTAATAAGGATAAAAGAAGGTTAGAAATTCATTCATTTATCCAGAAAGTCATTATCACATGGTTGCTGTTTATGCAGGTCATATTGAGTAAATTAGGGATTTTTCCACAATTCCCTTTAGGAAAAAGGTTCACATCCTATAAGTGAGTGATGTCAGAAGTAGGAATATTTGGCCTTATTTTAAAATAGAAAGATAAAGACATGAAGAGGTAGAACAATAGCCTGAGTTAAGGACAGCTCTGATGTCCAGGGCCAGGGCTCAGGCAATCAGCTAATTCCCCCAGTCCCCCTTGCCTCCTCTGTAAAGGAGAAATGGTGGGCTTTCCCTGGTAGGGCTGCTGGGAACAGGAAAGGGGAAAATGTTTGTGTGCTTTGCGAGTAGTAAACATGGGAAGGCATTCGAGATGGAGGGAAGGGGCTGAGAAAAGGAATGAAGCTGTGTCCTGTACAAGCACCATCTCCACACCAGGAGTGTAAACGTGTGCTGCACACGTGGACTAATTAAAAGAAAATACCATAGAAAATCGCCATTAAAAGGTGGCAAAACTAGGCCAACATTCTCTCAATTTGTTTTAAGAAAAGCCCAAAATCTCAAACCTTTAATATAATATTTCCCAGCTTTTGAATACTGACAACTCATTCAAAAAAATCTTTTAAATATTATGTAGGCTAAATAGAATACATCTGTGCCTGCCGCTAGCTTGAAATCTCTGCATCGGCAAATCTGACTTATGAATATAGATGCAGAACTCCTAAATAAAATATTAGCAAGTCAAATCCACAAAAAGAGAAAGACTAAGAGGAATGATAGTGGTAATAAGAGCTACAATGTGTAGCAATGGTATCACGTACAGATTGATTGCATTAACATGTAACAAGTATGTAACGTTTCTGTTGAGTGTAACAACCATAATTATTATTGCTGAAAATAGTGAACCTTGCCCTGTAGTGCTGAAAATCATAGACTGCAGTTCACACCACGCTGTTGTCCTGCTCTGTACCCCCAGGGTGAGGCCTGTCCCTCGAAGCGTGCCCCCTACCACATTCACACCTGTTCTGGAAACAAACTCCACTGGCCCTGGACTAAAGTCTCAGATCCCTGAGAGCCTTTGTGAAGACCACAGGGGAGCTGGTGAGGATCTTACTCCTCCGAGGGCACAAGGGCTCCCCAGTGGCCCTGCCCAGCAAGTGGGGGTCTGGTGAACTTCCCAAGGGCTCAGTCACCCACAAGGCTGTGTAGCCTTCCACGAACTCTCTGGTCCACAGCAAGGCTCCCTTACATTACATAGCTTCCATTGCTGCAGGAGCTCAGGAGTTTACACGGGATCCTGAGAGAGCTGGAGGAGTTAGGAATGGGAGGCTAGTGTACATTCTTAGTTGGAAACCAGCATCCCAGGAAAGTTAATCCTCGGTCAACTTCCCCTACCCAAGGGCGCACTGGGCAGGAGGAGGCCCGGCAGCCCCTTCTGAAGGACCCTGAGCGTCATACTCATGGCAGGGATGGCGACACACGACTGAGGTGTGCAAGGTGTCCAGCCTTCCCTCCTTTGCTGGCCATGTGTCAGGTCACTTAGATAAGCCAAGCAACATTTCCCAGAATCTCCTTCCCTGCAGGAGCATTGGCCACAAGGGACATGGCAGGACACAGGGAGGAAAGTGACCCAGCAGCCGTAGGTTAAGGCACCGTGGTTGCTTCCAGCAGGTTGGGACAGAGGCACTGAGCAGATCCAGTTTGTCCTGCTCATCCTGATCTGTGTCCTCTGGCCAGCCTGCCCCACAGAACACAGCCACGCCAGGTGCCAGCCCTGGGCTATGAGCGCAAAGGTGTGAGCCACAAATACAGCCACTTGCCACACACTTCCAACCCAGTCCAAGACCACGCCCCGGAGGCTGGGTGTGACTGGCTCCAGCAAGCTCTGGCCCACAGGCACTGTGGCCCTTGCCTACCTTGAGTCCACATGTCAGCTCAACACAGGTCACTTGGAGGCACTTGTGTGGGGAGAAACAGAGCCCTCTCAATATCCGTGCTCATTCCAACACCTTCCTCCCCCTGTTTGCTACCCTAAGCTACTTAGACCTCTGTTTCTGCCTTCAGAAAAAGGGGTAAAAAAAATCCTTAGTCTTAGATTTAAAAAAAAAAAAAAAGTCTCCTGTGAGAATTCTTAATCATAAATTAATCTTCATATAGATTTGGGGCTAACATCCACTCTACCTGGGTAAACTCTAAAAAAAAAAAATCTCAATCTGAGAATTTAATTTACAAGGGCCCGTGGTCTTTGGTACCTGCAGGGGGTCTGGGAAGAGCAAATGTAGAACTGCCCCAAAGGAAAGCACTTTACATACAGGATGATATTTTCCAAATAAAATTCCCAGAACCATGGGCTGACAATGAGAAACAAAAAATATATCCCGAAGGAATGAGCCACCATTAGCAAGAGCCTGCAGAGCAATAAACAGGCGGCTCTGACCATCACCCATTGTAAATGCTGAATTTAAAGCAAGTATTTACCAATCTCCTACTCCCTGCCAAAGGCTGTCCTGGGACAGAGTCCTGAATTTCTGCCCTGTCGGTATTTGTTATCTATGTTTAAAATGTGAAGAACGTCTGTTTGTGTTTTTTTTAAGAAATAAAGACAACGTCATAATTCCTAGGCAAGTTTGATAAAGACACAAATAGGGCCTGAAGAAAAAGTAATAATCACTGAGATTAGGCTGGGGGTGTACCTCAGCAGCACAGTGCCTGCCTGCAAGGGCAAGGCCTGAAGATTGATTCCTGGTACCAAAAAAACAAAACAAACAGACAAAAAAAAAAAAACAACTGAGATTAGAAGGAGAAGCCATCCACAGGTTAAAACAGCCACAGAGAGAATTCTGGAGTTTGTGGGAAATGGGGCACAGGAGACGATGGAGACAGTGAATGGGAGGTTAAAGGGTGCAGAGAGTAGAGCAGGAGTGGAGCGGGAAGTCCTGGCCTGCCCCTGGCCACTGCTCAGAGGAGGAGGAGCTCCCTGGACAGGACAGCAGGGCTGAGACTCCTCCAGCAGTGACAAGTTGCAGCCCACACAACCTAAAAGCCCAATAAATCACACCAGTGGGAGAAACAAGAAAACACAAGTTTTGCTTGGCAACAAATAAAATTTAATGACAACACATTTCACAAGAGCCGTTTAGGGACCTAGGAAACGTTCCATTTGATGATGCTGTCACAAGGGTGGGCAGGTGGGCGCTGGCTCTTAGGGCCCGGGCAGGGCTCCTCCTTTACAGGACAGAGGAGACCCCACCTGAGACCTCTGGGTCTGGGCCTTCTTGACAAAAATTTGCATCTGTGACCACATCTTTGGAGTTACTGAATTGAATATTTTAAAAAATAAACTGAGTATTCAAACGAATTTGATGTATTTGTGATCTGTGTTGTGATCAGTTGCATTCAGTTGCATTCGGCATAATGTGTGCATTTTAAGCACAGAATTCACTGATTCACCAGGGTCATCCACCC